AGTGACAAACTCCAGCTAGAGCAGTAGAAGGCTTCTGTCAGAGAATGCCAAGTTTCTAAGAAGTGGTTTTGAAAGGAACGGATATTTGGTACAACTCACACTGGCATCAGCTAGTGGTGGCAGAAGGAAGGAAAGAGCGGCTGTGCCCATGCACAGGGTGAAGGGGAACAGGGAAGGACACAGTCTGTAAAAGCTGTTATGTGATAGCAAGAGGTGGTCAGCAGAGGGGTGCAAACTGGCTGCCCACAGAAGAGAGGACCCGACCACAGTAACCAGGAGACACAGGACTCCACGGGGATACTAGGAAGACGTGGGAGGCTGCTGGGTGCTGAGCTGTCGTGTGGGATGGCAGCTTGGGTTATTTATTTGGATAATGATGGGAAGGATGCTCTCAGAAGGCTAGAGAACGTGGGCAAACCACTTATGCATGATGCATCTTTCACTCAGTCCGTATTGATATTTGTTAACCTTCTCCAGGCTTTCCTTTATTCTACCATTGCCAGATTAACCAGCCCAAAGTGACATTTTTTTATTATGTTATCCCCGCACTTAAAACTTCATCAGTCCAAATGCCTTAGGTAATAGTCAAGATCAGCTGGAAATCCACCTCTTCAGTCTTACTTTTTTCTATTTCCTCTCATCGTTGGGTTTCTAAACTCCTTTTCCTTTCTGTATTTCCCAAACCCCTGATAGCTTTTGTTCTTCCTCATTCCGTGCACTCCATGTGTCTAATTACTAAAATGCAATTGCCTTCCAAATTGCATTTTAGTAATAAGTCACTTTCTTTAAATTTATTTTTTATTATACATACATGTGGGGTACAATGTTGATTTTCCATAATTGTGTACAAAGTGTGATGGTTATATCAGTATAGTTAGCTTACTCATCATTACAATACACAATCATTCTTTGTGTCTGTTGACCAATTCCTCATTAGCTCCCCCCTCTAGTTTTCTAAAAGTTCAATGTATTACTCACTATTGCTTTTTAAATTAAAGGAATGCATAATGTCAATCAGAGCTTCAGATCAGCATGAGATAACTAAGCTTCCTAAACTAAAATGAGATAATTTCACTCAAAGCAAATAAATTTCAGCTTCTACTTGGACTGTGCATTCTTATGGAGGAAGGGCAGTGTGATAAATGTGATTTAGGGCAGCTTTCTGAAGTGCTAAAACTAGTTTAAGATCCCCATTATGTGCCTTCTTGGCCCTCTGGGGTTCTGGGGGCCTCAGATTGGGAATCAGACTCTGAATAAACTCTTTTCCAGGTAGGGCCACCTCACTTCCTGGCCCCACCTCTGTGCCTTTGCTCATGTCGCCTTTTATCTTTCTGAATTCTACCTTCCTCTCAAAGGGCAGTTCAAGTTCCATCTTCTCCCAGGAGTTATTTGCCAACCTCCTCAGTCCACAGTAATCCTCTATCCACCGAATTCATGCAAGACAGTTTTTGTGCCATTCATTTGCACGCTTCCAGGCCTGGGGTTGTTAGTTATCTCATATGCTTTTGTATTTCTTTCTAAATTGGACTGTAATCCCTTGAACATGAGAAAAATAACTTAAAAAAATCCATTACCGTATTCCTTCCTGTTCATACATAGAATAATACATCACTCAGCAAATGTTTGTCAATTGTTAATAATCAGTTTTTTTTTTTTTTTTTTAGAAATCACAACAAAGGATTAAAGTAAATTTTGGTGAAATAATCTCTGCACTGCAGTACTTACTTACCTAGCCAGCAAGTCAATAAGTTCAAGTTTTGACATCCCATCAGGAAGCAGTCGAGGAATAGCAGCAACACAGGTCCTGAAAAGATCTATTTTTGGCTTTCTCTCACCCCTAGAATTTGAAAACAAAATTTAAACATAGATCAAGAGGTTATGAAAATTTTTTAAAAAATTGATTAAATATGTGAACGAAGACTGGAATCCATGCTTTCTGAATCACAGCCTTGTGCTAGCTCCTTACTATTCTCAAATGTTTATGCCCTGTATAGCAGGGCTAGTTCTAATAAAACTTAACAAAATTTAAATGTAAGACAGAGGAATATATCTGAAAAGAAAAATGATGATATCAAAAACATTTTACCACAGGCTTGCCATTCAGTTGGGTTCCATGGGCTGAATTTAAAACACTAGAATCACAGAAATGCCTAAATGCATCAGCATGAAGAAATATATTTCAGTTATTCCTACATTCAGCATTTAAAAGTGGAATTTTAATGTATACAAGGAATGGTTCCTTTAACAAATGTGACATCTGGAAGCTTCTCTCTAGAGCCCCTAGGACTGTTTTTTAAAAATTAAATGCTTCCAAAATAAGTGTTTCATAATGACAAGTAAAATCCTGAAATGTATATAGTTGTACACCCATTTTTGACTTTTAAAATTACACCAATGGGCCTGACCATGATGGAGATTCTTTCTCTCTTTTTAATTGCTCTCCTGACAATATGAATATTTAATGGTAACTAATGCCTTCTATATTGTTAGAAAATGTGAAGAAAAAATGTGAAGAAAAATTTATATTTTGTGATAAGTTATTTCAATTTTTAGTTGTTTTAATATAAATGTTTGATTCTGAATCACTTAATTTATCAATAACTTTTATGGAAAAGTTAAACTACCCATCAAATCTTTCAAATAACCTAAGCGACAATATACAATGGCACACCTAAACTCTGATGATTTAGTCTCCTGAGAAGATAAAATTGGTACCAAATGAATGCAATCAGAACATACAAACACGATAATGCAAAGATGCAGAGAAGTAATTCCTTCTTAGAAAAGTAACTGTGGTTAGAATAGAAATGCGACAAGCAGAATCCATCGTCTCTATAATCTAAAGGTCATAATTAAACAGTGACTTTGCTCCATGACATTACTATTGAGTATACTTTTGTAAGTTTTTAAAGAATAAATACAAACCTGTTTTTATGAAAAATAAAAACACAATAAATCTGCTTTTGTGGAAAGTCAGAAGACTATTTTCTGCCCTTTTCCATAGACCTTTTGATGAGCTCTCCGAGGACTCCGGAGAGGAAGCAGTGGCACGGTGATTTCCTCTCACTCAAGGGAAGAGATGTTTCTGGATGATATCCTCAATAGCTGCACAATGTTAGAGCCTAGTGATCTCTTCTAATTGTTCATTGGCAACACAGTGAATAGTTTAAAAAGTTCTAGCTTGCTCACCAGATGTTTCACACAGCTGGAATTATTTTTATATCGGTTGGAAAACGGATGACCTTGCCTGGCTTGCAGTACAAGGCAAAATCTGCCAGACACTCAAGATAATAAAGCAAGCCTAGATTAGAAAGTAATTGATGCATGACATCCTCTTAGTTCCCGCAGTCTTTGCTTTCTGGGCTTTTATGGGAAGCATGTGAATCCCCAAAATAATATAATTAAGAAAATGTACTGACATGTTAAAGTCATTAGTATTATTATTTGCTAGCATGAACCACAAAAAAGGATGAGGAATGGAGACTGGGCAACACAGAGAGCTCAATGTCCAAGTTCATACCTTAAGCAGAATCTGGGAAAACAGTGGACCAGCCTCAAATGTCCACTCAGATGACTGTTTCCAAGCTGTGCGCCTCCACCCTCCTCTCCTAAATACTTATATGAGTCCCTAACATTTCTCCTTGTTTGTAGAAATGAAGTGATGAACTTTTTTCTACTCAGAGATCTGCCTTAAAGTATAATGTGAAAAATATTACTAGCCCTATTTGGGCGTCTTCAGATGGTTGAATGGGAAAAAGTAAAAAAGATTCTTAGAAAAAGTTTGAGCCATTGTGTTAAAACATATATTAAACTATGCTTTATTTATGTTTTAACCAATGAAACATAAATAAAATATTTACTTTTACATTTAAACCTATGCCTTCTTATGATTTTGAATATATGAATTTTGTTTTGATTTTGAACTTATAGTATTTAAAAAAAATAATTTCTGATTATAAAATGTAGTTTTCCTTTAAGGCTGTTTAATTTCTTTACTGTTTTTAGAGGAAACAATTATATGGCAGCAATTTTAAAAGCATTTCTTATATGTTCTACATTATATATTGCAAATGGCTTTAATATATTCAAGGAGTATGGAATAATGAGGTTAAAGGTTTATTGATAATCTAGCAATTTGTGAGGTAAGAACTAGAGCTGTAGATAATATATTTAATGTTATTAACCTTGGTCAATCTCAATTCTGTTATCACTTTGATTAAAAAACCTAAAGAGACATGATCTTCATATCATTTAAATCAAAGCTGCAGGATAAGATGTGTTGTATGATCCCATTTTTGTGGGAAAAAAAGAGGTATTTCTAAACTTATATTTATACTGACACAGACAAAGGTCTAGAAGGAATAACACTGAGCCAAAGAATGGTTGCAGATTTCAAGTTGGGCCCTGAAGAGATGCCTTTAACTTTAGACACTACTAAGTAAATATTTATTTTGCCTTTGTTTTTCATTATGAGCATATGTTACCATTATAATAAAAACGGACACCCACAATATGAACTTCTTTATAAAGATAACAACTTTCAGGTTAATTCTGGAATTTGGGGCTAAATATGCTGGGTGACAAAGAAAATCTTCCTAATTATATTTTTGGAAAGTTATGCCACAGCTGCCAAGTGTAATTTAATTCACAGTCCAACAACAAAGTCCAAACTTTCTTAAAAGTAAAATTAGAATTAATTATAACTGAATCCTAGTTCATGCCATAATTAATAAAAAATAGCAAATACAAGTTGTATGTGTTTACTCCGCAGAGCTCTAATTGTAAATCTAAATCCTTAGATTTTGGCTAAGAACATTTGATTTCCATATTTAAAGCTACAAATGTTTTCTTAAA